TCTGTAGCACCCGTCTCAAAATCTTGATCAAATCTCAATGGGCTTGTTTCTGCTGACTGAACGGATCTGTCAGCAATTGAGCAGTCATCTGTCTGTGCGCCTTTATCCATCATGTTCTTCTCGACGAGCCTATCATGCGCGAAAACGTAGTACTTCTTGACAGCTGATGCCGCCTCATAAACACTCTGGAGACATTCGGAATACGTGCGCTTACAGCTAATAACAGTTGTAACGCCACGTTCATCCTCCACAGAATCACCCCCAAGCTCTTGCACCCGTTCTACAGCACTCTCTTCGTTGTTGACTGATTCTCCTCCATCATCAGCGTCGTTTGCGGTACTAGCAACGATGCCTTCGCTCAGCATGACTGCCAATTGTTCCATGGGGAGTGCTACTTGGGAAGACGATGAGCTTCTTAATGCTTTAAGATCCTTCTCAGCAGCTTTTTGTACTTCCTCAGGTGAAAGCCGCCCACGCTGCTTCCAGATCCGCACGAAATTGCGTATAGTTGACGGCTCGAAACCGTCGCGCAAAGCCATCTGCTTCGCCTTCCCATGGCCTAAAAGATGCAGTAATGATTGGCGGACAATCTGAGGCTACTCGAGAAATGTCTGCGGTACTCAAAGTCCATTGGCATTCGACGATTGCTGAGCATTACCAGAATAAACTCAGCAAAGGCGTTCAATGTGAACTTCAACTCAGCCACTCCTGTGGCATCCTTCGATTGCTTCTCCCAATCGATAAACGCCACTAAAATGTCGTGGCGTTCTTGTGGAGAGAGAACACCTTCACGCAGAGAGACGACAGATACTGAAGTAGTCATTGTAATGTGATGACGCAGGAAACTAAAGCTTCATCATTCCAGGAATTGAGCTAGGATACTCTTCTCCGGATTGAATACCACCTATTGCTCAACAGAAATGAAAAGCACGAAACAGACATCATGGAGGTAGCCTGCCCAAGGCAAAACGGAGACGTTATTTCATGGTGTCGTACCACGGATACAACATGTTGTAACAGCTCATTTTCTATCAGTGCCGATAATCCCGATCCGGGATGTAGCACACCTCTCATACGAGTATGCTGCCTCGAAAGCGGAGCGGACAGCATCCATTGTAGTTGAAGTAACTGCATATTTCCCGTTCTTCATTCCTCCATTAGCCGGCAGTTGTGACGAGCCACCGGTGGGATTGCCGCCCACACGTCTCGCATTACCTGAGCTCTCAATCACTCGGTCTGAAGAAGTAGTAGATGTTGCATAATCCCTCTACTACATCTTGTGAGCTCCTTGTATGCGACGGTATCCTCACTGCCTATGCCAGCTTCCAAGTCTTCCCCCAGTCCAGTGAAACGAACATTCTCGTCCACGAGATCGAGGACAGAAACCAGCCACTCCTCCATGCACGGATCTACATCTACTGCGGGCTCGCCGCCTCCAGTTTTCACGGGATGTAGCCTCTGGCGCCTGGTGGTAGCGACTCGACCAACAACTAATCAAAGGGAGGGTAGGAATGCGGTGACATGGGCAGTACCAAATTGGCACCCACCACCTTTAGTCATGTAGTCCTTCATTGCCTTGAGCTCTTTAACGGTCAGAGCAGTTCCACATAAGGCGTTTATTTCATCAACGAGCTGCTTCCACTTCTGCTTCTGGCGCTTAGCAACGTCATTGCCCCCGATGCTGCCCCTCAGCACTAGTTGAATGTCACCATCATGATTGAAGTAGATGTTGGCGAAGATGATCTTGGCTTTCTCCAATGCCGACATATAATTCATGGGTACAGCACGATATTCCGGCCAAATTAAGTCAGAACTCAAGCATTGATCACGTGTAACAAGTCAGTGACTTGAAGTCACTTGCTTGACCAAATCTATTGTTCTGGCGCGCGCCGCGCGCTGAGCTGTAGGGATAGTAACCTCCTAATAATGGAACTCAATACACGACAAGTGAGCAGAGATAACCTTGTACGAGAGCAGACGTACAATAGAGTAGAACGTATCGGAATACGTTACGTTACAACTTATAACTATGATTACGAACTACGTATGAGCTACTACTAGCTCTAGCTTTGCAGCACCTTAGGGAGTAATTTGAAACTATCAGTAAATATCTGAAGTGTCAGTCAGACTGCATGAAAATTGCATGAACAGCGCAGGTTGCCCTACGATCACCTTGGGCTTGGATTGTTGCCTAACAGTTCCCTAAGGGAGTCTCCTTTGAATCAGTTCGTCCTTGGATGACGGTCCTCACTTGGATAACAGTTCGGGTTTCTGGTTTTCTTGGGATCAGTTCTGCCTTGGATGATGGCCTTCACCTGGCCTTCGGGTTTCGGGTTGCCCTGTCGGGTTTCGGGTGGGGTTTCGGGTGTCCCGTTCTCCGTTTTCACCCGCAATCCCTTGTTTCTTTGGGTGGAACTGCAAGCTAGATTTTTCCTTCAGTCAAGAATTCACACCTGAATAACGGTCATCATCTTGCTGACCGTTTCCCTTGTGATTCGTGCTATCGCTCACATCAGGATTCCGCCGTGCGAGTGGTGTTTTTTCATCAACTTGACTCAAGGAAATAATAATATCATTCTTGTCTTCTTTATTCGTGCCCGACCTTCATTTTGAGTCTAGCTATTCTGTTGTTTATTGTTCACGGTGGAACCCGAACTGTTATCCAAGCGAAGGATATCATCCAAGGCAGAATTAGTCAATAACTG